AGAGAGAGAGAGAGAGAGAGAATTTTTAATATTTATTTTTTAGTTCTCAGCGGACACAACATCTTTGTAGGTATGTGCTGCTGAGGATCGAACCTGGGCTGCACGCATGCCAGGCGAGTGCGCTACCGCTTGAGCCACATCCCCAGCCCTGTTAGGTGTTTCTTAACACAATAAAAATTTTTGAATTAAAATGATATTTTGTGGAGGGTACCAGGGATTGAACTGAGGGGCACTCAGCTACTGAGCCACACCCCGAGCCCCATTTTGTATTGTATTTAGAGACAGGGTCTCACTGAGTTGCTTAGCGCCTCAATTTTGCTGAGGCTGGTTTTGAACTCTCAATCCTCATATCCACCCCATCCCACAGCACTGTGGTTGCAGGTGTGTGCCACTGCGCCTGGCTTAAATTATTTTTTTTAAAAGGGAAAAGAATAAAGAATACAGAGTAGCAGCCTGAGTCACATCCCAAGTCCACAACTTAATAGCTGTGTGACCGTTGGTAAGTCACTTAGCCCCTCTGTGCCTGTTTCCCAGTTATTCAACTGGAAATAATAATAATACTTTGACCTCACAGGTGTGTTGTGAGGACTCCAGGAGCTGATCCACCTAAGGCCTTCACCACAGTGCCACGGATTGTAAATATCCCATCAGTGCAAGGCACTCTCTCCCACTGGGGACAAGAACCGCCTAATTTGCACTAATGGAAGAAAACACAACAGTGACGACTGTGAGGTGATTGTAAGGCACTTGTCAATTTCAGAGATATAAAGGTCACAAACACACATCCTAGAATCAGGGGACATGGTGGCATTACTACCACGTGGTCCTTGCCCACCAGTCTGCCTTGTGTTCCTGCCACAAGCGTTGCACTCACTGGGGTACCAACCACGAGCTTGTGACCTGAAATACCCTCAGTCCAAATTCTGCCCAGCCTGGGAGGCCAAGCTGAATGGTCGCTTTCTGTGAGTCACTGCTGAATGAGTCGGAATGGGCGGCCCCCTCGGTGCTCCCATGATCCTTTGCAGCCTCTTGTTGCCAGGTGCCCTCCCTCTGCGTGTGCCTCCGTCTCTCTCTGGGTCGGCTAAGATACAGCCCCAGACCTTTTCATCTCTTATTTTGAGACAGGGCCTCACTAAGTTGCCCAGGTTGGCTTGGAACCTGCAATCCTCCTGCCTCGGCCCCCGAGTCACTGGCACCCAGAGGACCTCTGTCTTCCTTGATGCTCCAGCACCTAGAGCTTGGCAGGCCCCTCTTGGAGAACTCAAGCTGGTTTCGGACACACCCAGCAGGATGGTCCCCACACTGGGGAATTTCCGTGCTGGCTGATGGAGGGATGTGGGGAGCCCCCGTCACCCCAGGCTGAGCTTGCTCCCCACCCTTGAGCGTTGGGGGGTCTTGGTCTGGCACATCCGCGACAGCTGTGCGGGGCAAGTGCCCTTTACCCTCGCTCGGCAACGGGACCTGCTTCAAGCCTTACCTGGGTGTCACCTGATGGGGATGGGCAACCCCCTGAAGCCTGATTGCCCCGCCTAATTTGGATAGAACATTCCATGGAACCTCCTTTTGTGTGTCCCCCTATAAAAATAAAGATATCCGGGTGCTCACTCTCTTGCTCCTTCCAGCGCCGGAGCTGACCTTTGGGTCCTGCCTTAGACACTTAGGCTCGTGTGCTGTGTGGTTTCTTCACCGTTCTCTTAGGTATTGATACAGCCAGCTCCTCTGAACCCACTTCATATCACCAGTCCAGCCAGCTGGCGGTAGAAGGATGCTTTAAGTGCTCTTCAAGCCCGTGATGGGTGACAGGGCTGTCCCCTACAGCCTCCAAGGAAGCAGGGCAGGCTTCCTGTAGCTGTGGGAGACCAGCCACTGGAGAGTTGCTTAGCCTAGAAAGTTCTGGAATGGGCTTCTAGGCTTCATACCCAAGTCTTTTTCTTGGCTGATCATTAACAGTATGTAACCCAGATGGTCTGGAGCAGGGGTTCTTGGATTTTAGCTTGAATCAGACTCACCTGGAGAGCTCACCAGAACTACCCTGGCTGCCCTTCTGACCTGCTGCGTGCTGATTCACTAGGTCTGAGCCCTTCCGTCTGTCTCTAAGGTGACACCCTCAGCAGCCACTGGGCAAGATGAGTGCTAAGGCGTGGGGGCAGGTAAGGTGGGAAAAGAATCCTGGGGGGCAGGGTTAGAAGGAATCACCTGGATGCGGAGGCTTAGGAGGGAGGAACGGAAGGCAGAGGCTGGGAGGCCAGGATGAGCCTAGCGCTGGTTTGGGCAGAGGGCTGCAGGCAGTGGGATGTGACGGGTGTCAGAGGAAGGCATCTCGTCCCAGATGCACAAGGAGGTGGTCCTGAGCCACCAGCCCAGTTTTGAA